GCTCAAGTGGTAGAGCGCTCGCTTAGCATGCGAGAGGTAGCAGGATCGATGCCTGCATTCTCCAGTGCTTTTCATTTCCCTTGCCTCGATGCAGAGCCCTTTGTCAGGGATCCATCTGACATCTGGAGAGGCTGTGGAGAAATCTATGGTGTGCCCTGGATTTGAAGAGGAGGATGACATTAAGAGCACTATGGGCAGTTTAATGGATTAGTTGATTTTCTCCTTCTTTGCTTGTGTCCTGGTTAGCCCCAAATGTTACCATATTCCATAGCCATTTGTACCCAGAATTGTTACTGTCTCTTGAAAACCTCGTGGCCGGAAATGGAACTGCAGGACTGTGGCATTGACAGGTCTTTTAAAAGCCAGGATTTCTCAGGCATAGCTCTTTCTTGCCTCTTGGTTTTTGCTCTTTCCATTTCATTCTCACAGGGAGAGAGCTGAGGCAGCATGGACAGAAGATCCCCTTGGTTTTCTTTTGTTTTCTTTCCTGAGAGGGTTGCTTAAGAATTTTGAGGAGCTGTATTTTGTGGTCCTGGACTGCTTCAAAGCAAATTTCACCTGTCTACAGTCACAACATTGCACCAAGAAAAGCACAGCAGCCCCACTTTACATGGTCGTACCAACCTGCCAGCAGTGCCCAGTGGAAGGGGAGTCATGAGTCGCCCCTGCCAACTGTCTGCTGTGTCTCCTCATGAAAAGGTGAAGCCCTTATATGAGTTCCAGCTGGATTGAGTTACAGGTGGTGGAGTGACTTTTTTGACAGAGCTGCTGCCGCCAGAGAGATAGGAAGGGCATTTGTCTGGTTTTGGACTCTAGGTTTTCTTTGTGTTTTGCCCTTGTTCTCTGCTGCTTGTTGTTTAGGGGGAGTTTTTGTAATCATGGAGGTTTGGTATCTGTGTTGTTTTGGTTTTTTTTCCTCTGTTTTTGTTCTCTCTGTCCACGTGCAGTCGAAAGAGGGAAAGGGCTGCCACAATTTTTGTCTATCCACATGCAGTCCTTCATGGAGGGTGCCATCTCGGGCAGACGGTTTTCTCTGAACTTTTTGTTTGTCCTTGTTCCCAGGGAGTCTGTGAGATTTAGAAACAGTGTAACTAGTGACTATTATTGTTATTTTTCTTGCCTGTTGCTATTTCACATTTTTCGTAAATTATTTTTCATTTATATATACTTGTGTTCCTCTCTACTTATTGGTGGAAAGTGATTGACTAAAAATAAATGGAAGGTAACTTGTTTAAAGTGTCTACCCCCTTAGCTTGACTTAAACCCAGACAGTTTGGCAGTTCTCAAATATCACGCTCAGCACAAATAAGAACATCAATGAAATGGAACAACTTCATTAGAGAGCCACCAAGAATCTTAAGGAATCACTGGATTTCTCTTTAAGGATGGGCTGAAGAGAGTGGGCATGTTCAGTTTACAGTAAGAGAGGTTCTGAGGACTTGCAGATGACTTTGTGGAAGTTCACTGTGGGTCACAGAATTGAGAAAGGGCTATAATTTTGTTTTGCCTTGTGCTTCAGCAGAGATCAAACAGCATAGCAAAGGGGAATCAAGGGAAATTCAGCAGGATATACGTAAGCCCTAAAGAGAGTCCATCAGTACAAGATGACATCCAAAGAGCTTATGGAGCATTTCTGTTTGTGGTTTGCATGACTGATCAGCTAAAGTGTTGAGCAAGGATTGGAGATGATGGAGCTGAGGCTGTTTGAAGCAGGATGTGGTAATAGAAGCATGATGGTGCACTGTGGCTTGGGAGAAGTGCTGGGCGAGGTCCCAGGCAGGTGCCCATGCTTCCTTCGATAGCTCAGCTGGTAGAGCGGAGGACTGTAGGCTCCCTTGCACGGCCATCCTTAGGTCGCTGGTTCAACTCCGGCTCGAAGGAGAGACCTTTTGGCTCTGGCACACATCCTGCCTTTTTCTGCTCCTGCCCAGGGGACTCCCCAGAATGAGCTGCCCAGTCATGAGCTCTTACCTAAGCTGTGGGAGATAATGAGCCAAGGCATTTTTTGCTGAACCCTTGGGCAGGGGATGGTGATTCTGACCATGGGTGTTGTCCGCAGTCACTTCTAGCAGGAAAGTGAGTGGGTGTGTTGGTGATTTTGCATGTAGAGCATCCTGAGTCAGGGCTGGGTGCCTGGGAGGGGAGAGGACTTTTTCAGGGGCTTCTGGGTGGGGAATTAGCTCAAGTGGTAGAGCGCTCGCTTAGCATGTGAGAGGTAGCGGGATCGATGCCTGCATTCTCCAGTGCTTTTCATTCTCTTTCCTGCACCATAGGTGCTGTGTCCTCTCTTGGCTGTGTGGAGTCTTGGGTGGACCCAGAGGCTGTATCAGGAGTAGAACATGCCATTGGCATAGGCATGAGTAAGCAATTTTCCCTCTTTTCTTTGTAGTAATTAAATGGCAATAAGAGTGCAGTACACTTTTTCTAATAAAATTCTTAATCGCCAGTTTACCATCACAGAGATGCTGACCTTTTGGAGCAAGTTCAGAGGAGGCACACCATGGTGATTAGAAGGATGGTGCTCCTTTCCTAGGAGGAAAGGCCAGAAGAATTCGGATTATTCAGACTGGAAAAGAGAAATCTTTAGTGTGACATAATTGGAGCTTCCAGTACTTAGGTAGGGTCTACAAGAAAGATGGAGCAGGGCTTTTGAAGAATGCATGTAATGACAGGACAAGGGGTAATAGCTCAAAATTGAAAGAGGCAAAGTTTAGATTAGATATTGCAAAGAAATTCTTCACTGTGAGGTTGGTGATGCACTGGAATTGGCTGCTCAGAGAAGTTGTGGATGACCTATCCCTGGACTTGCTCAAGGCCATATTGGATGAGGCTTTGAACAACTTTATCTAGTCTGAGCAACCTTGGGCAGAGGATTGGAAGCAGATGATCTTTAAGGTCCCTCCCAACACACATCACTCTACAATTCTGTAATTTTCTTATAAGCAGTCTATCAAGCAGGATCTTTTGAAACTTCTGAAGAAAAGAAATCCAGTATATATCTCTCTGCATATTACTTCACTGTCAGACAAGAAAGCGTAAGTCAAAGTACAGTTTCCTTTATTATGCCAAAAAAAGGTTCTAAAATTATATTTGTATTATATTGAAGATAAACAGCTCTCCTTTGAAATTCTGATTATTAAAAGCCCATTAGCTTTACTCCCTGATAAATTAGATTGTGCCAAACTCCAAATAAAATCACAGATTCATGTCTGTCATGTTTATTAAAAAGCAAATCTTGCCCTGGGCTGTGGTGGTATAATTAACAGTGACTTAATTAATAATGGCAGGAAACTCAGAATCAGGTATGGCTGGTTTTATACCTTGTACTAAAGAATACCATTTCAGCAGCAGATTTTTGGATTAATGTAAATTAAATTATAATTAAAGCAAATCTATGAGACTGACTCATCATTTTATCTTGCAAATATTTACAGCTACTCTATTAAAAGTGAATCCCTCTGACATTTCCACTTTAGTCAGAAGCAGCCTTTTTTTTTTCTCTAATTACTAATAAAGATGGAGGAAACACCACTCTCAGTTTTGCCATAGATCACTGTGTAAATGATCCATATTCACGCTCAGCATTAAATAAAGTTAATTGCATTCTACATTCTTCCATGACAGCTTTCTCCTTTGGGGATTTCTAGAAAATTAAATGTAAAAGCAACCAGAAAACATGAAGTTTGAGACAGAAGATGATTCCTGCACCTAGGTTGTACTACAGGGACACAGAAGGTGCAAGTCATAAGTGAATTTGATACCATAGTATGCTTTTTTCCCAGTGGTATAATTATTCAAGACAACAGAACCATGGGATGACAACAGTTCTCCTTCCATTGTATGAAGAGTTTGGACATCCACTACTTTTGCCTCCATTGAATATGTGCCTTTAGGAACAGAAAGCAGGAAAAATGGAATTTGTTCAAAAACATGGAGGACAGAGTCTTGCCAAAATTCAAGCTAAACAATGCAAGTAGATATTTTTCATAAACCTTTTGGAGTTCATATATATTCTTACATTTGATAGGAAAAGTAAGATGTGTGAAGTTTGCCTGGTAATGTAGTGCAACCAACAATACCCAGAATGATGCTGTAATAAAAGTTTTACAATATTTATTAAACCTGCAAATACATGTCTGACATATTTCAGCGTCAAGAACATCTACACATGACATTGAATTTTTTTTCTTTTTCAACAGCAGCTGAGCAAATTTAAGGGCAAAATTGCCCATAAAATCTTCTGATCTTACTTCTAGGTCATGTTACATTTCAACAATAAAATATCTGCCACTATTTTGATAACTTCTGTTTGACTCAAACTATTCTTAATGTCCTCTCTTCTTTTTAAATAGAGAAACTACCATTCCTGTGCCAGTATTTTTCAATAGTTGGTTATACTCACAATTAAAACCATGTACCTCTTTTTCAGCTCAAATAATTTTCAGATCCCAAGCTCTGCTTTTTATTATGCCTGCCTTCATAAAGTGAACAACTATCTCACACCTAGCAATTTTCCCCTTCAAGGACATTACACATTCTAATCAAATAATCTTTTTCTTTTCTTCTAAATCTATCTTTTCTTCTAAATAATCTTCTTTTTCTTTTCTGACAAGATAAACTTATTTAACTCCTTATGTTTCTTACTTTAGTTCTCAAAGTGTCATTACAGCACTTGTATTAGCTTTACTTTTCAACAAACTTCAGGAAAAATACTAACACAAGAACTGGGTGCAGTATTCAAATAGCCCAGGTTGGTTTATCCAAACAGTCTCACCTCTCATTCACTTAGATTAAAATATTTTTGATTATTCACAGACTGCTTGTGGGATGGAATCAGTAGATTTGCATTGCATCATCTCTGATTCTTTTCAGGCTCATAAATTTAAAAAGAAGGAAGGATTGTGACAATGAATGTGCAGGTAACTCAAAAGGTTTTACTGTCATAATCATTCCAGACAAATAAACATTTTTAGACCTGTTGCAAAGCACATTTTACATACCTGTAGGACTTCTTAATCTCATCATGTGTTGCTCCCTTCTCTAGTGCCAGGATTTCATATAATGCTTCACCTGATGTTGACAAAGCACGTTGCCTTTGTTCAGCCATGATAGCAGTGCATTACCAAAGCTGCTAATGTAGAACATAATATAAAATACCAGGGACTGCAAAGTATATAGAGATAGTATTTCTTATTGTTCATTTTAATAGATTTTTTTCAGGCAGCATAAGGTTAAAAATACATGAAAGTGAATCTAGAATAAAATCACTGTGAGGGTGGTGAAGCACTGGAACAGGTTGCCCAGAGAAGCTGTGGCTGGCCTATCACTGGAGGTTTTCAAGGCCAGGCTGGATGAGGCTCTGAGCAACCTGATCTAGTGGAAGGTGTCCCTGCCCAGGGTAGGGGGTTGGAACAAGATGACCTTCAGGGTCTCTTCCAACTTAAACCATTCTAGGATGCTACATAAACCATCATTTAAACCACAAGATATAGATACCTGTGATTCATAAGAGAAAGCTACAGCTCATTGATGACAGAACAAAACTCTCACCACAACTTTCTTTCTTTGAATGTTGGACCTCTCTCCAAATGTTGAAAAGTGATCACAGAAAAAACCTAAAAGTGACCTGTAAACCAGCTTTGTTAGGTAAGACTATACTCTTTTTTATTACACCCTTCTCATTGCTGAGCTAGAAACATTATCATGACATTATTCATATGTTATTTACTAAGCCACATTTTGGTTCAGAACCAATCATGTAACACTTTTTTAGTTCTATGGTATTATTCAATATGAAAAAGAAAATCAAATACCATGTAAGTACACAGAGAAACATAATCCATGTAGTAATTCTGGCACATAGGATTTACTTTGTTGTTGTCTTTTTCTGATCAGCCAACTCACAATTAAGGGTCCTTTGACCTACTGGAAAAAATACCTTTCTACTTCTAAGTGTTGAAAACAATCCCTCAATTAAATGTACTGAACTTTTAGTTTTAAGTTAACAATTAGAAAATGGAATTGCATGAGAGGATCTAGATCTTACTTTACCACCTGCAGTAGTTACCATGCTTTCTGTTCATGATGGCATGTGTAGAGCATATTTAGTATAATCCTGGGATCTATCCTGGTATCATGCAAGGCATATGAAGCCTGTTAATGCACAAGATAATGGCAGTAACTATGTGAAGTCACAGATATACAGCATTAGTTAAAAATCTGTGACATAATGCTGATCAGCTACCTGGCAGCCCTGAAGCATAAACCAAAATTAAAGCTATGATGTATTTAATTTTGAAGAACTACAAGGTCATGTAATTTGTACTTTCTCATAAAATAATTTTAATAACCTAGTCAGCTATGGAAATTTAGACTCAATAGCCTATTCAGTCTTCTAGCAATTAATCAACATGAAGCTTTAACTTTAGCTATTCAAAATTATTTCTTACTTATTTAAAGCAGTTCTATAAAATACTAAAAGTGCAATGAGACAATACTTTTCTAGAAAAAGTTACACTCTCCTTTACCAGTCACAATTTTAGTCTAGATACATTCCTGACGGCTGAAATTACATTAGAATACTATTTTTGAGCTACTTATTTTTGTTCCAGTAGAACAAAAGCAAGAAGATGTTGTTTTCTTCCTTGAATTACAGTAAAATTACTAAAACACAGTCCAAATTCTGGTAACAATTCTACATCTCCTAAGAAGGTGGGACCCCAGATAACTTAGTCTCCTTCTGTGTCGATTTTACATTACCCAGCATTAAGCATCTTATACAGAGATTGTAATACAATTTTTTACAATACCCATAGTTCACTTGGATTAGTGCTGAAATACAAGGCAAAGTTATTCAAAGAACATACCTGCTTCAAAAAGTCGTGGAACACAGTCTGGCATGTATAAATTCACAACATTATGAGTTCAATACCTTGATGTCTTTATGCACATATCATCCCAAAGGAAAGAAGCAAGTGACACCAGAAGTGTTGCTCCACAGAAAGCAGCTGCTGCTTTTCATCCTTCACAATCAGGGTTAAACAGGTCAGTGGAGTCTGATTACGTCTTTTGTTGTCCAGTATCCAATTGGTTATCTCTCAGGAAGATCTATGAAAGAGCAAATAAAACATTCATGAGTCTAAAAGCTGATATATCCAAGAGTTAATGACACCAAAAAATTTGGGACAACTGTGTATTGAGTTAGTTGTTCTTCTCTGCTTTACACCTGATAGGGTATTGAGTTTGTCTTTTTTTTTTTTTTTTCACCATGCAAATATATTATTTTAAATATCTTAAATATAGTCTCTTGCTCTAAATTTCACTTATTTAAGTTTTTGTTAAGCCAGCCATGGTTTAGGTTTACTACATAATTTCTTTCAAAACAGGATTAATTGAAGAAGTCCCTTCAGGACTTAGTTCTGAGTTCTTGAAAATTTTTATATCAAAGTAGAAGATGTAGGATGTTGTCTTTTATTCTGATGCAGTTTCTTGTCTTACAGCATAAAAACCTAGAGAGCTATTCCTTTTAATTTGAAACAGAGAAAGCTATAAATGCTAGAGAGTTTACAAACTCAATTTTTTTCTTGGATATAATTTTTGGAACCAAATAGTTCATCCTTTGCACTCAAAAATTTCCTAGATCACCCAATTCCAAACCATATCCTCTGTACTATGTTGACTTTGGCTGGCTGCCAGACCTCTACCCACCTCACACCATTCACCATCCCCCCTTCAACAGAATGGGAAGAGAGGGTAAACTGAAAAGCTCAAAGATCAACGTAGAGTTAGGGTGATCCCATATCCATTACTGTCATGGGCAAAATAGATGTAACCTGGGGAAAATGAATTTAATTTATAACTAATTAAAAGATATTTGGATGGTAAGAGACCAAAACAAAAATTAAACGCCTTCCTCTTGCCACTCTGTTTCCAGGCTCAAATTAGCTCTTTCATTCACATCTATCCCCCACCATCCATAGCAGAGCCGGAAGGACAGAAATTGTGGGTTCTATAGTTATGATAATATTAAGTGCATATCTATAAAGTATACTTATGATAATATATATATGAGAGATGTGTATGTCACATATATGACACAGTTATGGCCAAATACACAACGAAGTGTGTTATGATTGGTCATATATATATTTATATATATAAATATATTTATGATTATATAATTATGACTATATAAAAACAAAAGAACAATAGAAGAGCTAATAAAAATTGTTAAGAAGATGCTTTTTAATGTGAAGCATATGATTTTAACATTTCTCTTGTTCTTAGGTATATACTTAATGTCAGACATTCCCTCAAATTTCAGCTTTGTATGGGGAGAAGGCAAGGGACATTTCAATCTAAAATGTGAGTGTTTTTCATAGTTATGAGAAGTCAAAATAGCATAGTCAAAGTATCTTTCCCAGGACAATAACAACAGATTAGGTATAGCTGATTCATTACATTGCATAAACACAATAAACCAGATAATTCAATCAGCACACTTGATCTCTATCTTTGAAATGACTTGTAATACAAACCAAAACAAAATATACTCTTTCTAATGATAATAAAATATTTAGGGGAAAAAATTAAAACGGGCAGAAAATAAAATCACTTCCAGGTTATCCAAATCCCTTGTATTTATATTGATCCTATTACAAGATCCCTGCTCTGCATTCCTGGCACAGGCCGGGACTTGCAGTTCCGTGTGGATACAGCGCCCTCTGCCGCGCAGGGCTGGGACAGCTCTGCAACCTGCCTTGCTCTTCCTGCTAGCACTCCTTGCTTTGAAGGAAACGAGCACAATCCCAGCAAATCTAGGGAGTTTTGTCCCTTTTGGTGTTCTGTATTCCTAACACATTCTAAAGAATCTTTAAAAGACTCAAAATTTGATGAATTGTTATAAATCTTTTGTCAGATCAGCTGTGCAATTTAGAAGAATAGCAGGATAATTTAATACCTTTTCAGGCTTCTCATTAATTTTTTGCTTTGTATTGTAATACCTGATAGTGCACCACAAGACCACTGTAGCAGGCAATACAAAAATAAAGCACTATTCTAGTCCCAAAGGCTCTTCTATCTAAAAAGTCTGGCTTATACTTTTTATTTCATCTATATATTGCATGTCTTTTCAAAGCAGGCAAATCAGAACATGCCTGGAAATTCAAAGTTGAATATCAGACATAAAATATTTGAAACATGCCCCAGACAGAACAAGAGGTCTGGGGTTGCTTCAGAAGCCTCCAGTTACAAATAGCCAGAGCTAAGCACTGAAGGACTCTGAGTCACTCCAGTCCTTCCTCCTACCACTCCCTCCTTTTCTGGGCTCATAGAGAGTTGAAGTACCTAAAGCCTGGAGCTGAGTGATATACATGCATAAAGGTACTGGTGTCATTGCTTAACAGTGGTGTGAATTTTAACTTCCAAGGCAAGGAAAGACAATTTTTTAAAGCTGAATTATACTCATAGCTTTTTGAATCTGGTAGGGTTAACACTAACAACATCAAAGCATATAGGAGATACAAGTGATCAGATAAAGCATTCCTGACCTTTATGGAGAACCTACAGCTTTTGACTCTTTCTTCCAGTTGTGGCAGGAAAAGAAGATCTCAGATTTTACTTTGAGGATCTTGACAATTGAAATAAACTGTCTTGCTGATATGCTTCAGTAAAGCTAGCAGGTTAAGGGAGATAATCCTTACCATCTACTCAGCACTGGTAAGGTCACATCTGAAGTGCTGGGTCCAGATAAGGGCCTCCAAAGTACATAAGAGACATGGACATACTGAAGAGAGTCCAAAAAAGGACCACAAGGATGATGAAGAGACTGGAGCATCTGTCCTGTGAGAAAAGGCTGAGAGAGCTGGGACTGTCCAGGATGGAGAAGACTCCGTAGGGGGAGCTCATCAATGTGTGCAAATGTCTGACGGGACAATGCAATGAGGACACAGCCAGGCTCCTTTCAGTGGTGCTCAGTGCTGCAACCAGAGGCAATGGGCCCAGACTACAAACTCCCAAAAGTAAGAGGTTCCCTCTGAACATTCAGGACACACTTCTCCACTGTGAGGATGACTGAGCACTGCCACAAGTTGCCCAGAGAGATTTGGA